GTTGGAGGATTTGGATTTGAAATTGACATGAGTAAGGGATCGTTTTCCAGAACATTCACAACAATCATTCATAAACAATGATTCATTCAATCATAACATGAGTCGAGGCTCTGATACCATAATACACTATACGAGGTTCGCGGAATGTCGTATTGACTAAGCTAAGGCTCGGGGAATGTCGTATTGACTAAGTCGGGTTAACAGACGAGGGTCAGTTCCAAGTAAAGGGAGCTTAACGGGCACTTCCGGCCTCTGAGTGCTCAACCACTGTTAGGAATTCTCAACCCACGACTATCTTTTGACCGTCGTATTGACAGACCACAAGACTTGACCGTCGTATTGACAAAGAATGAGCTGATTAAGTACTGTTTCTTTACGACGGAATTGTGCTGTATTGACCATCATGTTTTGTGCCATAGCCATCATTTCGTGATGAAGATTTTTAATACACTAGACGAGGTTCGCGGAATGTCGTATTGACTAAGCTAAGGCTCGGGGAATGTCGTATTGACTAAGTCGGTTTAAAAGACGAGGGTCAGTTCCAAGTAAAGGGAGCTTAACGGGCACTTCCGGCCTCTGAGTGCTCAACCACTGTTAGGAATTCTTAACCCACAACTGTCTTTTGACCGTCGTATTGACAGACCACAAAACTTGACCGTCGTATTGACAGACCACTAGACTCAACTAGAGAAGAGGAGCAGATCGCAACTCATGAATGAAAGAAAGAAACCAAGGCTTATGAAGATGTCGAGAAGTCTGGAAAACTAGGGAGTATTTAGAAACTCATTCTAGAGAGAGAATTCTAGAGAGAGGTTTTATTAGAAATTCTGAGGTGATTTTTTACTAGGGGGTGCACACATATTTATAGGTGGGAGATAGTGCGCGCTGACATAAGCGCTTACATCATTCCCTTGCGATTACATCATCACTTACATCACACTTACATCATTATTTATTTTACATGGTTTTAAGCACCCTCATAATTAAACATAATTAAGTACCTTTAAGATAAGTACTTAAGTGGTTGATCTCGAACTCGATGATATGTTTGTCGCAGCATCCATAGTATTCTCCTGGGCACTCATAACCTGGTGTAGGCTCTTCGTAGTCAGTCTGTGATTCTTCATTGATTTCAATGTTGAACATTTTTCCAATTTCATCGATATTCATCGCGTCATCCGGTAGCTGAGCGTCCTGGAAATATTCTGGTGGACAGTCTTGGGACAGCGGTTCCTTTTCTTTCTTGATCTCCTTAGTAACTGGTATGTCTTCTATGTTTCGTTTAGACATGGAAAACATAACGTCTTCGTCTAGACTCATCTGGTAATCGATCGGATAGTACGACCAATTTGGAATGAAAGGAACTGGGAAGGTCTGTCTGGCATTGTTGAGGTGGAATGCATGTGTTTGAAAGTCTTCGTAGGCTTTAACGTCGCTGAGGTTGAAATCTGGATGAACTCCTCTCTGATAGTCATTGTGATGGATAAGAGTGGGTAATGTATGAATTTTGCTGGATTTGGGGTTGATCTGAACAGGACGATGGAAGAAGTAGATCGTGGAGGATTGAAAAACGGATTGAGACCTCCTTGTCTCTTTAGTTTCTTGAATGATAGGCCTGTTGCTTTTGCCAATTTTCTTAGTTTTCCGCTCCAAATATTCAGTGGTGCGAACCATGACAAGAATGTGGAGAAACAATCTCTTTGGTTTTGTACAGCGTTGACGTACTGGTAAAGCCATTTGATATCAAAGGTGATTCCGATGGTGTAGACTGAGCAGAGGTACCAGAGGAAACACAGAACTTCTTCCGGCATTGCTGTATTCTCGATTCTATAGAGATGTGCGAACGGGTGATCAGGGTGAATACCCATTGGTGCTATGAAGTGGCCGTAGATTCCGTATTTGGACAGGATGATGGACTGGTATTTGAAAATCCTGTGTTGAAGATGCTCATGCAGAGTCCTTTTGTCGACGAGCTGGTGAGCGTCGAGAGGCATGTTTGCGTCGAAGTCATAGTATTGATTTTCCGAACTCGAGGAAGCTGAGGCGTTTGTCATCATATGAACTTCTTTAGGAGGGTTTCTACTGAGCATGTCAGCAAGAGTGTTCTTCGCACCCTTTAAATAGAAAGATTCGAAGTCGTACTTCGAAAACCATTCGCTCCAGCGCAATAATTGTTGATGTGGGACCATCATCTGCTTGAATTGTAACATCTTCGGAAAAGAAGACATATCCATTTCGATGCGAAATTTATGTCCTATCAGATGAAACTCGAACTTCTCGATAACCTTCTTGACCGCTAGGATTTCTTTGAATGTAGAGTGATAATGCATCTCAGAATCTTTAAAGCGTCCGCTTTTGTATCCACAGATTTGACGTTTACCATTTATTTCTTCGAATAAAATGGCTCCCCAATATTTGTCACTTGCGTCAGTCTGCAGTATTTGTAGGCATGTAGAGGGAATATTTAAAGGTGGTAGCTTCTGTATCTCCTTTTTAGGCTTTTGATTGCTTCGGTTTGTTTGGTAGCCCACGTGGGTGGATTCTTTGTCAGCATCTTCTGGAGTGGTCTAGTCATTTGCGAAAGTTGCGGAATAAAGTCGCTGATGTAATTAATTACCCCAAGGAATTGTTGGACTTGTCTCCGCGTGAGATTTTCGTCGGGAAAATCGAGGAGTGCTGTAGCTAAATGGGCTTGCGGTGTGAATTTTCCTTCTGTGATTTGCATTCCAAGGAAGTCGATGTTGGGCTGGGCTACTATCATCTTTCGGGCCGAGAGCATGATTCCATATTCTTCAATTATGCCTTGAAATTGTCGGAGAGACCGAATATGATCTTCTTCGCTTGTTGAGAATAATAGAATATCGTCGATGTATATTAAAGCCGTGTGGAGAAGAGGCTTAAATATACGAAGCATCGCTTGCTGAAATAGCGATGGCGCTGTCTTTAATCCGAAAGGTAGAACATTCCATTGGAGATGTCTGTTGGGTAGGCAGAAAGCTGTTTTGTATCTTTCATCAGGATGAACACCAAGTTGCCAGAAACCAGTCTTTAAATCAAACTTGGAGAATATGGTGGCTCCTTGTAGGTGTTGAAGGAGTGCCTTCTTCTTTGGTAGAGGAAACTTGACGTGTTGTAGATATTGGTTCAGTGGTTTGTAATCAATTACCAGTCTGAGTTTTCCTCTTGCTTGTTCTGCCCGGTTGTTCACATAGAATGCTTTACATGCCCAAGGTGAATTTGTTGATGAGACAACTCCTTGTTTTACTAGTTGGTCACATTCTTCATTTGCTTGTGTCAATAATGTTGGTGGCATGCCTGCGTGACTTGCTTTTGTCGGAGTGGTATGGACATTCTCCTTGAAAAGTAGAGAGACGAAGAATTCTGAATTCAGCCATAACGGTTTGTCACATTTTTGAAGGAAGTATGTGTGAGAGTCTGCACATGAGACTATTGCGATCTCTTCTTTGATTTTCTCGAAATCTTGAGTTATGACTCCTTCGACAGTGAATAGACGTGGGATTGTTGTGAAAGCTTTGTAGAAAGCCTTCCATCTCATTCCTCGTGTCTCAATAGATATATCAAAATTCTTCTTGAAGGTGTGATAGGAATCCCATCCTAATATCAAATCTTTTCCTGGTGCTGAGGATCCAAGCACTTCTGTTGTAATTTGACAGCCTGGGAAAAGTTCGATCGTCACTGGTTTGGACTTGAGTTTGACCGTCAATGAACCCGAATTTGCCACTAGAAATTCTTGTTGATGTGGTAGCCACATAGAAGTCGGGAGAATTTTAGGGTTCATTATCGTCGTATATTCTCCTGTGTCGATAAACGCAATTGCATGAACTGGCTTCTCCTTTTGTGATGGATCAAAGATCGTAACTGGCAGATGTGGTGTTTGAATTTCTTCTTTTTGCGGCATACGAGTGATTTTAAAATAGCAGTCGTTATTGACTTCTTCTTCTGAGGAGGAGGAGTCGGATGAGTAGTCATAATCCGAGTAGCCACATATGGCATCTTGTTCATCACTATCATAGGATAGTACTGATTCTAGATCGTGGTTGTCGAAGTGTCATGATCACAATGACCGTTCGTCACTCTTTTTCTTTTAACAGTGACATAACACCAACGACCAGATAATAAATTAATTTCACCAACAAGTTTTAACATAAAAAAATTGGAGTGTTCGTTTTTAATCTTTAACAGAATCTAGATAAGAGTTTTTTATTAGAGTTTCTTGTAAATTTTGGAACATGTGCAACCATTGGAAGGAAAATCAAGGTTAGAAAGGTGAAGTTTTATTGTTATCGGATAAGAGTTTTGAGTCTAATTCTACAGATGTGAATAACTTTAGAGAGAGATGTATACAAGTTAAGACAAATAGAGACCAAATTTAAATAATATAGTGAAATTATTGTCTCTATAAACCGATTTGGAGTTTGTTGATATCCCTAGACCGAGCTCATACAGGGTAATTGGATGAAGAGAGGAAGAAATTATTTGGTTCGGTTCGTTCGGGAAATTTGTCCACCCCAAGATAGGAAGAAGCTTGGGGCTCCAGCCTCAATTCATAAAACTTGTGTTCATCCTTCCACTTTGAGGATAATCCACCGTGCTCCTACTCATGGTTAGCAAGGCAATAACGGTTTTTGCGAGAGGTATTTAATTACTCAACTAAAAAGACAAGTTATTTACGTAGTAACGCGATGGAACGTCGCCTTCTGGCGAAATTCCCCCATTGCTCTCTCTGATTCAAAACTAGAAAGACGGACAAGATACGCTAGATAAATCACCAGGCCTGAGCGAATCGTAGCAGCCACAAAAGTACTCTCTCGACCAAGGTACTGTATGAAAAAGTTTGTAGTTTTGGCTGGCTACGGTTTGGTCAGGCCCTTCTTGACGGAAGTCCTGGTGGATTCTCTTGGCGAGAGTCCCGTCTACCTATTCATGCTTTTTCTTAACGTTTGCAATCAACTGACATATGAAGTCGTGAAACGATTGTATACCAAAAGGGCAAACCACAAGTCTTAATGGTAGCTAGTACGTTAACATGAACAAATAAATTCAACTCACGAGGTTTTCGAGCATAGCCATCTGCAAATGATTCATATGAAATTATCCAAAGTAAAATCCAACTAAACATCCATAAAATAATTCCAGCGTTACACACAAACGCATTACATCTCCATTGGAGCCACGTCTTGGTCACCAGAACCACCACCACCCTGTTCTGCTGGTGCAGGAGCCGCAGCAGCTTCGGCCTCACCCTCACCAACCTCGCCTTCACCTTCCTCTTCCTCTGCAACTTTCTCAAACGTGTCAATCACTTTCTGTATCGCTTCCTGGTCCAAGAAGTGGAACGGTTCGCCAACTCCTAGAACAGCGACCGTGCAAAGAGAACTCTTAAGTGTTTCTCCTTGCAATGTTTCCCTAACAGCCAAAATCGCATCTTTTATCAGATCTTCTCTTGAAGAATCCCCAAAGCTCTCAAATCTACGTTCCAGATAGGTCTTTGCGGCTTGTGAACGAGACCCGATAGCAAAGGCTTGATACTCGAAGTAGTTTCCACTTGGGCAGTTGTAGTAAAGGTGGGCTCCAGACTCATCCAATCCACCTACTAGCAAGCCCACGCCATATGGCCGTTTCCATGACCGTTGGGTACAGACCTGATCACAAGCAAACAAAACACAAATTTTCTTTTCAGGTCAACAAGTTTCGAAAAAAAACAAACTGATAAAATATGAGATTGAAGAAAACAATATCCTTCCTTTTACAAATGCAGATGATATATGAAAGTTCTTCCCAGAGGCTTTGTACCAAACCAACAATTGAAAATGGGAATACAACAGCAAATGTGTTTCATATACCAATAGAAGTGAGATGTATTACATGATTATAGGCAACATATTTGTCAAACTCAACTAGGTTTCAGCATCAAAGCATTAAACTACCACGAAATTGCAGTATTTTATACTGGAAAGCAGGATAAAAAATTTATCATATAATAATGCTACTATCATTATCATGTTAGTAAGAAACTATTCCATAAGCAAACTGCTCCAAGAAGCTACAACATACCAAAACAAGAAACAGAGACCAAATCAGCATTGCTTTTCATTTCAGGCAATTCCTAAATAAAGCAGTAAGGCCAAGAAAAATCAAAACTTCTTGACATAAACGGTGAGACAAAGACCTAGATCCATTAACTACATGAAAGGACAATCAATTCTTAATGACGACTGAAGAAACAAGTAAAGTATCAGAAGAAAAACAAAACTCATTCTTCTAGGATCCTATTGCTTAAGTGAATGTTTAAGGAAATCATTTTACCAAACATGATTTGAGTTTCTAACAATATAAATCATACAACTCAGTATCAGCTAAATCAAGGACACTCTTGTTAAAGTTTTAAAACAGCTCAGATCACTATATACTTGCTCTTGCTACTATCATTATCATGTTACTAAGAGACTATTCCATAAGCAAACTGCACCAGAAGCTACAAGATAAGCAAAGAAGACACGGAGACCAAATAAGTTTTGCTTTTGAAGGATCTAAATATACTTTCTCATTTCAGGCAATTCATAAATAAAGCAGCAAAAATTTAAAAACCAATTCAAAGTGAGACGTAGTAAAGAGCAATTACACCAACAGCTCATATAAGAAACCACAAGTTAGACGCAATTCAGAAGTGTAACAGTATCACGTAATTATAGACAAGTTGTCGAACAACATCTAGCAGGGGTAATGACCGGTGAGTTCAAAGTCCTAAATACATAAACTAAATGAAGAGTGCAGAAACAAGTACTGGAGTATCCGAAGAAGAAACGAAAACTCATTCCTCTAGAATCCTGTTGCTTAAGTGAATGTTTAACGAAACATGCTCTTGGTAAAGGTAAACCCTTTACATACAAGATAATGCAGCTGTGACAACAACATACAACAAATAAAGGTAAATCCTTTATCAGCTAAGATCATTATTATGCTTGCTCTTAAGCTCCTAAAGCTTCAATTAAAAATCACCAAGAATCGTCACAAACTAATCAGCAATTGCAGAAGACAAAACACGTTTTCTGTATATTTAAGCCTTAAGTAGCAAATTTAAGAAGCTAATAGTGAATTTTAGCTCAGTGAGTCACACAAAATCAAGTGTGATTGATTCCAAATTATCCCCCAAATCTTAGTTAACCAAAAGAATAACCTGGGCCTTATCGGCGAGATGAACGACGAGACGGCCAACGGGAAGAGGAGACTCGTAGGTAAAAGAGTGATTGATTGACTCCGATCTCATGTAACGAGAGAGAACACGGCCATCGGCGGTGAGACCAGCGATTGCGACGCCTATATGGTCATCGACTTTGAAGATCTTCTTCTGGTGAGAAGAGAGCTCAGATTGGGCTTTGTTGACGCAAGCAAGGACAACATGGGAGCGAGATCTGAGTCCAATCGCGGCGGAGCCTTGCTTCACTGCTTCCATGGCGTATTCTACTTGGAAGAGACGGCCTGTTGGGCTCCATGTTGTCACATCTGTGTCGTACTGGTTCCTAAACATTGTCGTTTGTTGTGGATTTTTTCTCTTTCTTCTTCTGCTTCGCTCGTGTTTCGCTGCTCAAGGTTTATAGAAACGAAAGCAGTCAGAAACTTTTCTTTTCCTTCAAGCCATGGATTCTCACTTTCTCTCTCGCTTTTCCTTCAAGCCATGGGCTTATTTCTCATTAATGGGCTTAGATTTTTTGTTGGGCTTTACTATTATCTTCTCGGGCTGAGATATTAGAAAAAAATACATAAACCGAAATATGTTATATACCAAACCAACTACAGTCGGTTTAGATTTGAAATTATCAATGTGGGAAGGTCTGCGCATTCAGATACTAGGTTAGTGTGGGATATTTTGGATTTCGGGTATATTGATTTAAGGCTTTTTGGTAGTCCTGGGGATTCGAATATCTGAATCCCAACCGATCGGATTTTTTGGATCTTTGGGTAATCGGTTTTAGGATTTAAATTGGATCGGGTTGGATTGGTTCGGATTGGTTTTTTCGGATTCGGATCGGTTTGGGTAATAAAATCAAGATCCGATATTAATCCTAAGAAAATTAGAATCAGATTATTCAGTTATTTTGGTACCGAATACAACCAAACTTGCAAAAAAACCGAACTATCCTATAATCACCATTCACCACTTTTTATATATGAAAACTTGGACTTGCAGTACACATTAACCGATTGCAAACAATCTCCTTAACATTCATCCAAACAAAACATGCTTAATACAAAAAACAGATGATGTGTTCTAATCCAAACTTCCAAAGATGCATAATCCATAACAAAGATCAAACATCAACCTTCTAAGTTTTTTGAACATGTAAGGAAAGAAAAACAGTTTTTTAGATGTATAGTTGACTATATAGTATAGTTATTATATAAGTATATAGTATAGTTGACTGTACTAATATATTATAGTTACTATACATGTATGTTGATTGTACCAATTACTTGTATGTAATATAGTTACTATACATGTATATAGTATAGTTGACTATACTAGTTACTTATATAGTATAGTTAAACTATACACTTAATAGTAAAAAAACAACCTAGGAGATGATTGTTCACTCATCATCAGAACAAGAAGACAACAATGAACAATTGGTATTAAAGCGAGGTTATGAGCAAAGGAGACTTGAACAAGTGGGTGTAGAGCATGTGGGCTGTGTTTGGTGCGGGAGAGAGAGCCCTTAAGGTGACCTTAAAGTCTTCCTAGCAGTGGGGAATGTCAGGCAAACGGGTTTCATTGGTGAGTACGGTGGTACAAGATGGATGTCAAGTTTTGCTAGAAAGTTGGGAAGCCACATGTTCGTGTGATCCTTGGCTTAAGGGAGGATTGTTGAGATATCAATCCAAGTCCCACATCGGAAGTTTAGACAAAAAAATATATAATATATAGGCAATGTCCAAAAAGTAATTAGTATAAGGTCTTTTGGAAGGAAACCCAAAAACAAATCCGTGCGGGCTTTACCACTTGGGGACAAAGCGGACAATATCATACTAATAAGGAATCGGACATAGGTTTGAAAGCCCAACAATTGGTATCAAAGCGAGCCTCTGGATCCAAAGGTGGACCTAGACAAGTAGGTGTTGGCTGTGTGCTCGATGTGGGAAAGGGAACCCTTAAAGTGGTCTTGCGATTGGGGTGCTGGTGCCTTGTATCGAAAGTCTTCTTGGCGGTGCAGAAGATCAGGCGACGGGTTCCGTTGATGAGTATGGCGGTACAAAATGTTGTTAAGTTTCGCTAAAAAGTTGGGAGGCCATATGTTCATGTGGTCTTTGGAGGATTGTTAGGATATCAATCTAATTCCCACATCAAAAATTTAGACAAAAAAACGAATATCATACCAATAGAGAGAATTAGAGTTCCATATTGTATAGAATATGATTTAATACAGATTAATATATATAAATATATATATATATATTTTACATAAGATTGTCATTGTAATGCAAATAGATCTCTTGATCATAGTATGTGTAGAAGTATTTTTTATAAAATTTTGTAGATAGGATATTGTTTATATATAATTGTTTTCATCATTTGTAATAAATTAGACGACTAACAAAAAAAATATTAATAAACTAATATTTGGTTATATCGTTATTTTTATTTTTGTTAACATTGAGAAAATTACAAGAAATACTACCAAGACAATTTTACAATGGATAATGCTATCTATTCTACAAAGACTTACGATCACAATGAAAAGTTCCATGTGGGTCCCTTTGTACCACGCTAACGATTTTGTTATAACATTGCCTCCATTAATTTGCAGAAATTGCATTTTTTAAATTCAGATCTTCTAGTGTAGAAACATTAATGAACCATTTGGTTATATTGTTATTTATGCGTGAAAATTCAACCATTATATCTTTTTTTTTTTTTTTTTTTTAGCTGATAGGATCTGTAAATATAATTAAGTTGAATGACTTAATTTTCATTTTTTTTTTCTTCAGTAGAAATCTTTATCATTTGTTTTATTTGTAGCTGATAACCTATAAGTGAAGTATTTCCAGTGACCAATATATACATACATACTCACAGTTTGAGTCTCAAACTATACTTAATCCATTTACCAAGCCTTACAACTACATCACTCCCATATTTTTAAGAAATGCTAGAGATTGATCAGATGTTGAAATTTCAAATTATAGATTATGAAATATATCATTCAAGCGACATTACACGACTCATTCGACTCAAGAACTCATTATACAAACAGCCCCTGTTTCTTCAATATGTAAAACGTCATAATGGTACACGCATTCGTGATATATATTAGAATCAGTCCAGACCACACCCTCCAATAACAATTTACGATTAAGAAAGTAAGCAAACCCGAAATACACATCCAATAACAATGCGACGACAATACCGGTTCAATTTCTAAGCACACATCTGCTGTGCCTGCATACAAGCATCGGTTTTTTCGCGGGATACCACCGGTTCTGTACAAGGCATCATACCATCGGTTAAACCAGCTCCGATTTTGTGCTCACTCTTGTCATCACTAGTTGGAACTTTTTCCTCAGATTTCGATGGCTTTGGAAAAGAAACAGGAAGAAAACCCTTTTCACGACATGTCTCAATCGATTCGACCAACATCTCCTCGAGACTATACTTGAAGCTGAATCCCATATCAATCAGCTTCTTCGAACTGAACATAATGCTCTTCAGATTCTCATCCACACCTTCAAACCTGTTTAAAAATAGGTTTTCAGCAAAAGATTGATTGCATAAGTAAAATATGTTTAAACCGATTTCGAAATGATATATATATATATCTTACGTTGCAGGCACGTTATATTCCGGGTATTTTTTCCTAAGAAATCCAGAGATACTGAGAATTGTGGCATCGTGAGAGGAACAAATATAACGTCCCTTGGCAACTGCTTCTTCAAACAAGAATATATGCGCATTGCATAAGTCGTCCAAATGCACGTACTGTCCTTGTCTTATGATCGAGTAATGTGCCTCATTCCCTGAAAACATTTTCACCGTTTTGAAATTAAAGGAAGATAGAAGGGACTAATCGACAGGTCTGTCCCTGGCCTGAGAGAACTACATGCCAAAGGGTCTGGAAACCTCTTAGTTAAAAGAAAAAAAGGGAGTGGAGATTAAGTGCGCTCACGAGTGATAGGAGAGAGCGCGGTAATGAGGCTAGGCGGCATAGATGTTGTTATAAACGGACCGATCACCAAAGTCGGAATGATGCTAATGAAATCTATTCCGTTTTCCTTCGCGTAATCCCACGCTGCTTTCTCGGCTAACATTTTCGACAAGAAATACATCTGCAAAACATTTTAACTTAGATTACTTTGAAGAAGATTAACCTAGATAGGAGTTAATTTGATGTATATAGAATTTCTATATATTTATACCCATCCTGTCATCTTCTTGGACATGATAAAGTTAAGATCACTCCAGTCGCTTTCATCATAGACATCTTTCATATGTTCCTCAACATTAACCGTTCCGGCAGACGAGGTAAAGACGATTCTTCGTACTGTCTTTGCCTTAACACATGCTTTCATTATCCCCAACACTCCATTAACCGTTGGTTTTATCACTTCGTTCTGCTTTTTTTTCAAAAAAAAAAAAAGAAACATTTAACTAACAAATTTTCTTGGGTTGATTTAAAAACTAAAAGTGATTCGTAATATAACTTACCTCAGGATCCGTTGATTCAAAATCCATGGGAGTTGCTACGTGGAAAATGCCATCGCATCCGTTTATGGCTTCGTCGTAGCTTCCTTCGTCAGATAAATCGGCTTTCCATAGAGTGAGTTGTGTCTTGGCGTTTGGCAAATCAAGAAGATGTTGCACTTTTTTCAAATTCCCTTTATAATCCAATAAGACTCGTAAATTAACCAAGCAATAATATATATATATATATATATACATACATATTTTATTCTTACGAGAAATATAATTAACGATTTTCAAAGAACATATATGTACCGGGATCGCGAACAGTGCCACGGACAAAGTAACCGCGTTCGAGTAATCGCATCACTAGCCATGAACCGATGAATCCTGACGCACCGGTCACGCACACGGTCTCTTTGTGACTAACCATTTCTGTGTCTTATAAAGATGGATTGTGCTTTGGGAAAGATTTTATTACGTAGCTTCGTTATAGATCTTCGTGTTTTGAAGATATTATATATAGTTTGAGAACTGCCATTGAGAAGCTGCCTGTCACGTGAGTACCAACCGGCGAAGTACGTGAGGAACGTTGGTTGGCGAAGGGCTTGGTTGTCTGGTACGTGAGAATCTGGTAAGTTTGATTATATTATTGTTTTCTTTTAAAGGCAATTTATTATTAATTATTGTTTGGTATATAGTTTTTGTTGTACCGGTGGATGAGTTACGTCGACTCAGGTTTGTTTGTTTGTTTGGTGAGAAAGGGACAAGAGTCGCGATCTCCTTATCTTTCTTGTTTTTGTTTAAACCTTTTCTTTTGTAACATCCTCACTTTTGGTTAACCAAATATCGGATGTTACCAATTCATAATTCCAATTTTATTAAATTAAACCATCTCTATTTCCTTTTCTTTTATTTCTTTTTATTTGGGTCTTTTCTAATTTCCTTCTAAGAGCCACTAAGCCCATTGCACCTATTAAACCTCCATATAAATACCTAATTAAATCCTTAAAACCCTTATTAAGCTCCTAAACAACCCTCGCCACCTTTTTCTTCTCTCCTTCTCTCTTCTCTGCGCCGAGCTGCTCTCTTCCTCTCTTTCTCTCTGTGTTTTCTTCTTCTTCCTTCTCTCTCCTGGCCGTGTCTTTCTCTCTCCTTGCCGCGGCTGCCGCCATCCTCCAAGCCTCTCTCTCCACCAAAGCTTCCTTGCCCAGCCGAGATGTCTGCGCCGCCTCCTTCTCCTTTGGGTGAGATGGGAGCTGATTCTGATGGATCTCCTCTTAGATCTACTTCTCCTCTGCCTCCTCCTCCAGTTTCTCAGCCTTCTAAGCCAAGGTGAGGACTTTGTGGCTTCATCCTCTCTTACATATGCATGATTGACTTTTAAGTGGTTTTTTCTTAGATCAGGCTTAGATCTGCTTGTTAGGGCTGTTAGAATTGTTTAGGACCTGGATCCATGTTGCCTGTTTGTTGATGATTGCTGGTTGCTGGTGGAATGAGATAATTAACCTGAACTTGGATCTAAACTTATTTGGACTTTAAAATATTGATTGTGTGATGTTGACCTGTTTGATGTTCCTCTTTGTTACAATTGGTATCACCGAAAGTGCATTTTAATAATGGAAGGACCTTTAAGAAAATAATGGTTATATGAAATGGATGATTTGTGCATAGTAGATCTCTGTTAGGACCCCTGACTCCTAGAGGTGGGAGTCAGTGTTGCTTGTTGGCTATCGCTGTCGTGAAGGCACGGCTGGAGCCATCGCTGGAGTGGATGAGCGATCCACTGGTTATTGAGCCGTCCAAGGGGACCGCTGGGTACAGCTTTCTGGTGAGACCGCTATGAACAGCCGTCTGAGTGACCGTTAGTGTCATAGCCTGTCTTGGTGATTGCTGTGGACCAGTCTGTGTGACTGGCAGAGTAGACCTGACTAATGGGTATGGTAATAGGCCAGCCATTGGATGAGATTATTCTGGTTTGCCTTTCCGGGTGAGGCATGGGGGCCCATGTGGCAGCCTACTGTTACTGGCAAAGGCCAGGGACCCACTGCTTGTGTAGTTGCTTGTAGGGCTACCCCTGAATGCTGTGTGATTGATTGCTAGGAATGAATTGTCTATATATGAGTAAATATATATATGTTGTGTGGGCTTGCTTTAGGATTAGATCTCTTAAAACCAATTTATGCTAGTTTGATGATGTTGTGGGTCTCCTTAAGGCCCATCCTCACTGAGTAATCCCAATTACTCACCCTTCCTCTTCCCTTGTCTTTCAGGTTTAGTAGAGAGATCAGCCTAAGTCTATGTTGTTGATTGTTATCTGGGCGTTTTCCTGGCGATCCTGTGTGCTCACCAAATCGGACATCCTACCGGACGCGATTCGATGGCCGATCTAACATTCCCGGTTCCCCGCCTCTTAGGAGCTCGGGATAGGGATGTTACAATTGGTGTCAGAGCCCAGGATTAGATCATTTTAGCTCCGTTCTAAAGTGGTCGCGCCCGTTTTTGTTTTCAAAGAGAAAACTGTTTGCGAAAACATTTTTTATTAAAATCTTTTTAAAATGTTTTCAAACCTAGAACAACCAACAACTTATAGACGCTGATCTAATAGATTCTCCTTTTCCTTTTTTCCTCTTTCCTTCCTCTTCTAGATTTGGGTTTAGGACCAAGGAGACAGCCAGGAAGAGGACAATTGCTGCTACCCGAGTGACCCTTCAGTACACTCCTTGGAGATGTAATGAGGTGCATGAGGCATCTACAAGTGGACCGAGCCAGGCTAGGCGAGCTCCTTCAGCTTCTCCTCTGCAGCAGCCTAGTTCTGTTCCTGCGCCTCCTTCTGAGACCAAGCCAGCTGCTCAGCAAATGGTGGAGCATGGGCGATGCTGCCAATGCCCAAAGATTTCAGCGGCACCAGGTGCTCCTCCGGTGAATCCAATTGGTGCTTGGAGAGGGTTTGAAATCCAGGCAGACAGGACGTTTCTGGAGAACCATCAAGATTTTGTTAATGCAATGGAGCATGCACCTCAGGCCTACTCAGCTCAGGAGTTTGCTAACTTCTTCTTCCAAGGTCTGCATTACAACTTCAGGGCAAGGATCAGGGAGATGGGCAGAGGCATAGGAAGTCGTGTAAGGGAAGTCTACAAGAGAGCCTTGTGGGTAGAGAGATCCTTTCAGACTGGAGGCCCTGTCTACATCTCCTCTGCAGAGAAATGGATGAAGATGAAGACCCCTCTGAAGATGATCTTCCTGAAGATGCTGATAGTGATTAGGAAAAATTGTTTTCAGGAGTAGAACTACTTATTCTTTATTTATTCTATTCTATTGATTGATTGCTTGCTTTAGGATCTAGTTATTAGAACTTAGCTAAAATTCTTTGTTGGTGTTCCTAGTATTTTATATTTTTAAAACTATATGTTCTACTCCTCATTTTTTTTAAATTAATAAGAAAAGGGTTTTGATTTATTTATAAAGTGTTTTAAACTGCATCATACCTTAAACTCTCCCTCCTACACGATTCTGTTGATCACTCTGCGTTCTAAACCCTTAGCCTTCAACTCTTCTTGGCGCCATGTGTCCTATGATTTCCTTCCTGTTCCTTCCTTCTTAGCTAGAATCTTTTCTGGTGTCATGGCTCACTTCTAATTCCTTTTCCGATTTCATTTGTGGGCCCTTTCTGATCCTATTCCTGCCTTTCCACTTCTGATTTCATTTTGTCCTTCCTTCTAATTCCATTCTAATTCCTTTCATGCTTCATTTCTGGCCTCATTCTGTCCTTTTTCCTCTCAGCCTCTATCTTTTCTGGTGCCATAATTTCTTGTGGTTCTATTCCTAATCTCCTTCCGAATTCCTATTCCTGCTTTCTCCTATTGATTTCATTTCCAATTCTCCTCCTGGATCCATTTCATTTCCTACTCCCATTTCCTGATCTCATTTCTGATCCTCCTTCTGATTTCATTCCTGTATTCCTCTCTGATTTTATTCCTAGCTTTATTTCTGAATTTCTTTCTGATATTTTTCTGAGCTTCTTTCTGATTTCCTTTCTGGTTCCATTCCTGCTTCCATTTCCTGAGTTCATTTATGAATCCCTCCTTTCTGTGACCAAGCTCCTCTTGTCTTTTGTGTCTTCGTTTCCCTTGGTCTGTAGTCTTCGAAATTCCTTTCAGGAACTTCTCTCTTAGGATTCGGGGACGAATCCTGTCTAAGGGGGGAAGATTGTAACATCCCGACTTTTGGTTAACCAAATATCGGATGTTCAGTTCCTAATTCCGGTTTTATTAAATTAAACCATCTCTATTTCCTCTTCTTTTATTTCTTTTTATTTGGGTCTTTCCTAATTTCCTTCTAAGAGCCCATTAAGCCCATTCCACCTATTAAACCTCTATATAAATACCTAATTAAATCCCTAAAACCCTCATTAAGCTCCTAAACAACCCTAGCCACCTTTTTCTTCTCTCCTTCTCTCTTCTCTGCGCCGGGCTGCTCTCTTCCTCTCTTTCTCTCTGCGTTTTCTTCTTCTTCCTTCTCTCTCCTGGCCGTGTCTTTCTCTCTCCTTGCCGCGGCCGCCGCCATCCTCCAAGCCTCTCTCTCCGCCGAAGCTTCCTTTCCCAGCCGAGATGTCTGCGCCACCTCCTTCTCCTTTGGGTGAGATGGGAGCTGATTCTGATGGATCTCCTCTTAGATCTCCTTCTCCTCTGCCTCCTCCTCCAGTTTCTCAGCCTTCTAAGCCAAGGTGAGGACTTTGTGGCTTCATCCTCTCTTACATATGCATGATTGACTTTTAAGTGGTCTTTTCTTAGATCAGGCTTAGATCTGCTTGTTAGGGCTGTTAGAATTGTTTAGGACCTGGATCCATGTTGCCTGTTTGTTGATGATTGCTGGTTGCTGGTGGAATGAGATAATTAACCTGAACTTGGATCTAAACTTATTTGGACTTTAAAATATTGATTGTGTGATGTTGACCTGTTTGATGTTCCTCTTTGTTACAATTGGTATCACCGAAAGTGCATTTTAATAATGGAAGGACCTTTAAGAAAATAATGGTTATATGAAATGGATGATTTGTGCATAGTAGATCTCTGTTAGGACCCCTGACTCCTAGAGGTGGGAGTCAGTGTTGCTTGTTGGCTATCGCTGTCGTGAAGGCACGGCTGGAGCCATCGCTGGAGTGGATGAGCGATCCACTGGTTATTGAGCCGTCCAAGGGGACCGCTGGGTACAGCTTTCTGGTGAGACCGCTATGAACAGCCGTCTGAGTGACCGTTAGTGTCATAGCCTGTCTTGGTGATTGCTGTGGACCAGTCTGTGTGACTGGCAGAGTAGACCTGACTAATGGGTATGGTAATAGGCCAGCCATTGGATGAGATTATTCTGGTTTGCCTTTCCGGGTGAGGCATGGGGGCCCATGTGGCAGCCTACTGTTACTGGCAAAGGCCAGGGACCCGCTGCTTGTGTAGTTGCTTGTAGGGCTATCCCTGAATGTTGTGTGATTGATTGCTAG